TTTTTTTTTTTTTTTTAGAAAATAAGGATGGTGGAGATTTCTGATTTTCCTTCTTCTTTTTTTTTTTAAGATTTATTTATTTTAGAGAGGGAGAGAGCACACAAGCAGGGGGAGGGGCAGAGGGAGAGAGAGAATCTCAAGCAGACTCTCAGCTGAGCGTGGAGCCCGATGTGGGGCTCCATCTCTCCACTCTGAGATCATGACCTGAGCTAATGATTTTACCTTTTTAACTGTCATGCATACTACGTGATTTGTCATTATTTTCTGGAATCAAGTAAAGAAACAAAGTAAAGTAGGGCACCTGGGTGGCTCAGTTGGTTAAGCGACTGCCTTCGGCTCAGGTCATGATCCTGGAGTCCCAGGATCGAGTCCCACATCGGGCTCCCTGCTCAGCAGGGAGTCTGCTTCTCCCTCTGACCCTCTTCCCTCTCTTGCTCTCTATCTCTCATTCTCTCTCTCTCAAATAAATAAATAGAATCTTTTTTTAAAAAAGGAAACAAAGTAAAGTAGTTTAGCATTCCACAGAAGGTTCTCAAACCATAAGCCTACCGCAATGACTAGCTACTTTCTTGCCACTGTGTTCACCTTAGTTTTCATTCACCCTTGGACTTAAAATCACAAAACTAATATTGTCCATCAAATTCTTTTTAACATTGAAAATAGGTTAAATGATAAAACATTGATTATTCTGAACTTGGTTCAATAGTATGAATACTGGGGCAACTGGGTGGCTCAGTCGGTTGAGTGCCTGCCCTCGGCTCAGGTTATGATCCCAGGGTTCTGGGATAGAGCCCCAGATGGGGCTCTCTGCTCAGCAGGGAATCTGCTTCTCCCTCTCCCTCTGCCTGCTGCTCCCCCTGCTTGTGCTCTCTTGCTCTCTCTCTGCCAAATAAATAAATAAATAAATAAATAAATAAATAAATAAAATCTTTTTAAAAAAATAGTATGAATACCATGGTTTAATTTACTTTACCACCTCTGCCCTTATTTCTTTTCTTTTTAGAGTTGGAACATCACCAACCCACTTCTTGGGACACAGATGAACAGAGGTACTTGGGCTAAATATCTGGGAGCAGAACATGCTGGAGATTCGAAACCAGGACACAGAACTTGAGATCTGCATGCTTTCAGAGGTATTCTACCTGAGTCAGGTGAGCAGCCGAGCCCAAGGGACAGAGGGAGAGAGAGAATCTTGAAGCAAACTCCTCACTGAGCGCAGAGCCCAACTTGGATGCGGGGCTCAATCCCACGACCCAATCTCTCAGTGTCTGAGATCCAGCCCCCCAGCCCACGTTTCCTGGGAATCAGAGAAACTCTCATATCTGATATTTTCAAAATTTCTTTCAGCCTTTATTATCTTCCTGGGGGATTGAAATTAAGTATTCCCAATCAGGGGGGAACAAATCTCCCTCACCACCTGCTTGGTTACTCTGTCCTTCCGTGTTCTTCTCATCGAGCTAAGACGCTGAATAAAATGACCACGTCTCCAAATAAGGTTATCAGTGATTGAAAACCTACCAGACTGAAAGTGTGAGTCATCATTCAAATTCCCTGAAAATTCCAGTTTATAACCACTTCCCCCAAATTCCCATGTATAAATAGAAAAATCAAGAATGAACTGGTTTTCTTTTTAAATCCACTTCTTCGTCTCTAAAAAATTAGTTTACTGCACAACTTCACGCAACACATGTACATTGTTCTGATCAAAGCAATTCTAAATAAAGCTGACCTGCTGAAACTTCCTGTTACTTTTCTAGCAAGAGCTGTTAACATTCAGCATGAAATTTCACTGTCACGTAAAGGATGTTTAAGGATTTTCTGATTCAACTCCAGCAGAAGTGGTTTGATTCCTTGTTACTACGAAACCAAAAAGCAACAAAAACAAAAAGACAAATTGAGGAAGAATTCTTCATCTTATGAAATTGCAGTCGAAGCCACTAAATGTCAGCATTAGGAATAACAGAAAGGAGGCCGGTTAATAAAATACAGCAAGAATGATAAAAGTTGAATTACTGCGTCAAAGACAATATGCATTTTGATTTTGATAGTTACTGCCATATTGCCCTTGTAGGAGACGTGCCAATTTCACCTTCCTGGGGTAACTAAGGAGGGTGTCTATTTCCACACAGCCTTACCTTCACTGGCTGTCACATTTTTTTTTCCAATCTGATAGGCACAAGGTGGTATCTTGTTGCAGTTTGTTTTTGTTTTTGTTTTTAGAGAGGGAGAGAGAGGGAGAGAGGCAGAGGGACAGGGTGAAAGATTCTTAAGCAGGCTCCATGCCCAGCATGGAACCTGATGAGGGGCTCAATCTCACAACCCTGAGATCATGACTTAAGCCCAAATCGAGGCGGATGCTTAACCAACTGAGCCACCCAGGTGCCCCATGTGTAGTTTTAATTTATATTTATCTCATTTTGAGTGAGGTTACATAATCTGTCATATGTTTATAAACCATTTGTATTTCCTCTTCAGGGAACCATATTTTCAGAGCCTTTGCCCGGTTGTCTATTTTGGTCCTTTTCCTATTGAATTGTAAGAGCTCTTTATATACCAAAGAGATTTGTCTTTGATGTGACTTGCCAGTACTCCTCCCTCCCCCCATTTTGCCGTTAGTCTTTTGACTAAGCAGCTGATTTGGCTCAACGTAAAGAACTTTAATCTCGAAGATTTTCTAAGTATTTGTGTGCCCCAAGGAGGCTATTGAGATAGAAGACTCTTATTTGGACAGACACAGAAATTCACCAGCTTGGCATGCACTGGTGGGCCCATGGGCAATGCTTCCAAGCCAAGAGATGAGAAAAATGGGACTGAAATTGCTCTGTATCGTGTGTACAGCGTCCTCTCCATCGTGGGCGGGAACACTGGCAGACAGAGCACCTTTGGGAACATGTCTCTCCTCCTTAAAATGGATTTAGGCACATTCCACCTAAGGCCTCCCACCGGAGAACGGAAGGGCGCCAGGAGGAGGGGTCCTGCCTCACCTCTCCTGATGGGGGGGCCCCAGGGGTGTGCAGTGCCCCTTTCAGATGGTCTGTGCCAAGGCCCCCTGGTGTTATTCTAGATCCAGTACATCATTTTTGGAAATGTATGGCTGGGGCTAATCCCGTCCTGGGGGTTGTCCTGGTGTAGTTGATGTAGTTTTTGAATGTTGTTGGTGGTGGGGTCTGGAGTCGACGGCCAAGAAAGAATTCTTGAGATGTCTTCAGTGCAAAATGGTGGCTTTATTAAAGCACGGGGACAAGACCCATGGGCAGAAGGAGGTGCTGCCATTGCTCCCTGCTGCCCCAGGATTACGAGGAGCAAGTGATTTTATACCTTGGGGTTGGGAGAAGTCAAGAAGTTCTTTTTTTTAAAAAGATTTTATTTATTTATTTGACAGAGAAAGACACAGCGAGAGAGGGAACACAAGCAGGGGGAGTGGGAGAGGGAGAAGCAGGCTTCCCGCGGAGCAGGGAGCCCAATGCGGGGCTCGATCCCAGGACCCCGGGATCATGACCTGAGCCGAAGGCAGACGCTTAACGACTGAGCCACCCAAGATTTTATTTATCTATTTGACAGAGAGAGACACAGGGAGAGAGGGAACACAAGCAGGGGGAGTGGGAGAGGGAGAGGGAGAAGCAGGCTTCCCGCCAAGCAGAGAGCCTGATGTGGGGTTTGATCCCAGGACCCTGGGATCATGACCCGAGCTGAAGGCAGACACCCAGCGACTGAGCCACCCAGGCGCCCCAGAAGTCAAGAAATTCTTAAAGGAGTTTCATATGTTAAAGAAGACTTTCAGGATCCTGGAGGAATGTTATAATTTGCCTGTCTCAAACATTTGTGGATGGGCTGCAGGTTATAAAGAGATTTAATTTTATTTACATTCCCTCTGCCTTTGTTTCCCACATCCTAGTGAGAGGGGCAGACAGATCCTCGCACAAGATTTTAGCCGCCATGGCCCGGTGAACAGGGTTATTATTATGCCCGTTGATAGAGAGTTAAGCAGCTTGCCCAGGTACCCCCAGGCACTTGCTGGAGCTGGCTGCCAGCTAGCATGACCTAAGTAAGCTCTCAAGCCCCACCCCATCACAATGCTAGAGCAGGCCCAAGGATGGTTTCGGGATTCGGAAAGGATGGGCCAACAGCCTCATCCGAGCAAACTTTCTGAGGTCTGAGATGGACATCTTCTTTCTTCCATTTCCCGTCCGCCTCTCTCAAAGCTCTTCCAGAACCTGTGCTCAACCACCTGGGTTCTACCAACGTTCCCAGAGCATTTCACAAGTGGCCCTTAATTTTTATGCACCCTTGTCTTATTTTCTCACCTAGACATACGGACAGAGCCCAGGCATAGATTTATTTGCATTTACCACAGCGCTGGACAGAGCGCTTTGGGAGTAGGCGGCTCGCCACAGACCTTGGGGGTGGTAGTGCGATGGATACCTGGTTAGCACGGCCAGCGACGCGGGAAAGAAGCGCCAGGGCGAGGAGCCGGGAAGTTCGGGTGAAGCAACCTAATTTCACCGTGAGGGGAGGCCCGATGGAGAGCGGGAGCAAAATCGGACGTTTAGGGGGACAGCCCGCCCTCCGGGGGAAAGAGTTCTTCCTGCAAGGTCCGCTGGTCTTTTTCAAGGCTTTTGGAGAAATGAAGCCAGGTGCAATTTCCTCTGAAGTCGAGCAAACTGGGCCGGGCCTGCGGTCCCGCCCCGTCCCGCCCGGACACCGCCTCGGGCCCCGCAGGCGCGGGCCCGGATCTGCACCGCCCCGGCTGAACCCTCTCTGAGCCCGAGGCTAGAGGCCTCCGCTAGGCCCTGCCCCCTCGCCCTCCACCCTGCCCCACCCACCCCGCCCACCCACCCCGTCTTAGCCCCGCCCACCCCACATCAACACCCGCCCCCACATTAGCCCCGCCCACAACCTATTCCGACCCTCCCTCTAGCCCCGCCCACAACCCTCCTTCCTGGCCGCGCGAGGGGGGTGCGGCGGCCGCAGCGGCGGGGGCGGGGCCAGCCTCACCCGGAATGAAAATAAACGGCGGCCGCTGCCGCATCCGGGCACTCGGCGGGTCGCGGCGGGCGCGGTGGTGGCGCAGGTGAGGAGGCGGCGGTCGAGCGTCCGGTCTCCGACCCGGGCCTCACCGGCGCTGCTTGGCGCCCCTGTTCCCGGCACGACTCCGATGCATCCCCCGCCCGGGGCGGGGCGCGGCCACAGCGGCGGGCGGTGGGCGGCGAGCGCGGAGGCTGGCCGGGGCTTGGGGACGCGCCGACGGTTCGCGCGGCCCTGGGTCTGCGCTGGGCTGGGCCCGGGTGGTGGGGTGTTTTATGGAGTTGTTCTGGGGGGGAGACAGAGGAAGATATGTATACTCTAAAGTAAATCTCGTTAGCCAGACAAAAAGCTTGAATCTTAACACTGCTATCCCAAATATGTCATTTGGGATTCATATTTGCGGTCAAAGCTAGATTTTCTTTGCTATTTAATGAGAAAATATGGTTGACTCTGCATTTCTCTGATCATCTGGTTCTGCATTTCTCATCTCCTTCCCTTACTCTTATTTTTTAATACAAGAATCTTTCATTGCTCCGCTTAAGAGGAAATACAGTGTATTTTGACTATATGTGTGTACATATGTATATTTGAAAAGCTCTGGGTAAAGGTCCCCATAGATCGATTCATTACAGAAGCGAAAGTGAAAATTTTAAAGTAGTTGACAACGTTTCATTTTCAGTTTGGAGCAGTAATATTAATGAATTTCTGGGCTTCCTCCCTCCCGCCCAGTTTTATTGAGAAATAATTGACATACATCACTGCTTTTTTGGCTGTAATGTGAAACATTGTATGGCATGCATAATGAAACTTTCAGTTCTCTAGTTAAAACTGAAAAGTGGTTTATTAAACTTCTTTCTTTTGATTTCAAGTATGTATCCTCTTTTTATTCTGTTGTCTATAACTGAAATTTTTGTAAATTTCCAAACAGCAGATTAATCTTTTTTAAACATTAAGTCTCATGCCTATAGACCTCCATCTGTTCTGTTGATTTGCTCAGTGGGTAGAGTGTGGGACACACAATGCGTTTGTGAAAGCCTTTGGGCCTTTAGACCTTGCAAAGAGTCCCTCCATAAGCAGCCCATGAAATGATCATCCCTCCCCATTGATATTTTATCCAGAATTCATGAAGATTTATGAGTAGGGAACTATGTTTAGTGGTTGTGTCAGTTATTTGTGTTTGAAAAGCTAAGTACTCATGCTTTTCTGTGTGAGCAGCAGTTTGTTAGTGCTTGAAGATCTGGGGTTCTCTCGTGGGTCACCTGGATGCACAGCAACCTCCTTTTTTTTTTTAAAGATTTTATGTATTTATTTATTTGACAGAGAGAGACACAGTGAGAGAGGGAACACAAGCAGGGGGAATGGGAGAGGGAGAAGCAGGCTTCCCACCGAGCAGGGAGCCCGATGTGGGGCTCGATCCCAGGACCCTGGGATCATGACCTGAGCCGAAGGCAGATGCTTAACGACTGAGCCACCCAGGCGCCCCAGCAACTTCCTTCTTGACGTGTTTGTTCCCTACTCCCTTTCCTCCTCCCTGTCCTAATGACCCTCTTTCTTACCCCCCAGACTGATATAAAATAGATTTGAATTTTCTTTTAAAATACTCATTTATGGAATACATTGAAGTTAACAAACCTGATTTAAAAATTAGGTGAACTGGGTTTTGAGGGTGTGGAATACTACAGGCCCTATATAGAAAAAGAGAAAGTTACTTATCAAGGTTATGTTAACCCTTATATATATTTTATTCTATAGAACGTGTCTTCATCATTCAGAAGCTAATTACCCTTTTACTTTTCTTACTCCTTCTCTAGTAGCCTTCCCCACCCCTTCAAATTGCTATGCTAGTGAGAGATGGGTAGACAACTCCTTTGCTGCCAGGGGCTTCTTTGTGAGAGACTAGTTACGTAACACAGGACAGACAAGCAGCAAAAGATTGCGGGACAAAATGCAAAGTCCAATGTTGTAGGCAGAAATCCAGTGCTAGCTATGGCGCTGCCTAACTTTGTGACTTTGGCCAAGTCATTTTTACAAATCTGGGGCCTGGGTGTCTTCAGCTGTAAAATGATCCAACTAGTGTTAGATTTGAATAGTACATAGTAGATCTGCTGTTTGCTTATTGCAAAATATATAAAATTTTTCTAGCAAAACTTTTTAGTTTTAAAAATTCAGGTATAGAGAATATTGATAGTTAACGGTACCAGCTAGCTTTTATGTTTACCCTACCAAGGGGATTGATCGTTGTTAAACTCACCAAAATACAAATACAAGAGAATTTATGTATCTATGTTGAATTGTTTATGAAAGTTAACAGCTTTAGGGACTCATCTTTCTCTCATTTGATCTTTTCTCTTAGAGAACAATAGCTTAAGAAATAGAGAAGTATAATAAACCTTGCTACATATTAGCAACTTTGAAATATGTATTTTATGTAACATATAATTTGTAACTGTATATAGTGTATTTTAGCATATGTATAGAATGTATATATTTTAGAGAAGTTTAGAGCTAGTTAAAACCTAATCTAAAAGTAATTTAGGGCGCCTGGGTGGCTCAGTCGTTAAGCATCTGCCTTCGGCTCGGGTCATGATCCCAGGGTCCTGGGATTGAGTCCCACATCGGGCTCCCTGCTCAGCGGGAAGCCTGCTTCTCCCTCTGACCCCCTCCCCTGCTTGTGTTCCTGCTCTCACTGTCTCTCTCTCTCTGTCAAATAAATAAATAAAATCTTAAAAAAAAAAAAAAGTAATTTAGAGGGGTGCCTGGGTGGCTCAGTCGGTTAAGCATCTGCCTTCGACTCAGGTCATAATCCCAGAGTCCTGGGATCAAGCCTGGCCTTGGACTCCCTGTTCAGCAGAGAGTCTGCTGCTCCCTCTCCCTCTGCCTGCCACTCCCCCTGCTTGTGCGCACACTCTCTCTCTGTCAAATAAATAAATAAAATCTTTAACAAAAAAAAATAAAATGAAAAGTAATTTAGATTAAACAGGAGAGGGAGGTGTGGAGGGGAGCTCTTCTTACCACATTGAACACATCAATGTATTTGGTAAGTTATGAAATGCTTTGAAATGTAGTGTGGGGTATTGCTCACGTACTGTTTTGCTTTCAAGAATGGCGCAAAAGAAATATCTCCAAGCAAAATTGACCCAGTTCTTAAGGGAAGACAGAATTCAACTTTGGAAACCTCCATATACAGATGAAAATAAAGAAGGTGGTTTGGCATTGAAGGTATTTTCTTTTAAGACATAAATAAATAGCAGTGTTGTAAGTCTTCTTGGGAAATAAGATTCTGAAGTCCCCGGAAATTTCCAGGTTTAACCATGTAAATTTTTGGCATAATCAAAAGTATTAGTGATTAGCAGGTACCCACTTGTTACTAGGAATTGACAAACTTATTTTTGTTTAATAAGATTTTATTCATATGAGAATGTTCTCTAATTTCCCAGGCACATACTATTTTTAATGCCTTCACAGTGTTTACATAAAATTAGTAACTTGGGAACTGATTTTACCCTGCTGGTGCACAGTCCTCATGCCACTAAGGGCGTGTATTACATGTTCATGGGGAGCAGCTGGCTGGTTCTCTGTTCTCCTCCTTGCTAGCGTGGTTTGCTATAAAACAATTGTTTCCTTCCCCCGGCTTCTTTTATACTATGGTTATCTGCTCATTTGTCCAAAATACATTTTTCTAATACTTACATGTCAATTTTTTATGGTGACATCAGAAATGGCATTACTTTACGTGAGATTTCTAGAACTTGAAGTTTGCCTGCTTTTTCAAACAAAAACAGTAATCATTTTTGACAGGACTCTTTTATATTGGAATATAGCATGTACTTCTTTGCTTTCTCCGTCCAAGTATCCTGAGATAAACGATGGAGTGTTTATCAGGAACTAAAGATTGTCACAGGGGCATCATATTGTCCAGTGTGGTGACACAGTGATGTGCTTGGGAGGGAAGAGTTCTCCTTCCTGTCTTTCCCGTTCCTGACAGGCCTCACTTTTTATTTTTTGCACACCCATCTTGTGACCTTTTTTCTGAATTTGCTTGTTATAATCCCTTGGCTCCCAAAGCTACGTATGGCATAATAAGAAAGCTGTTTGGTCTTTGTCCCCAGTACCTGACACGGAGCTCCTAAAATCCTTGGAATATCCCCATTTGTAAGGGTGATAGGAGCATCTTTTGTGCCAATGAGGCAACTCTTGGTAATACCTTCAGGATGGGGCTGGTGGCCAAAAAGACCAAACTTCAATTAGAAGATGAGACTTTCAGGGCGCCTGGGTGGCTCAGTTGGTTAAGCGTCTGCCTTCGGCTCAGGTCACATTCTTAGAGTCCTGGGATGGAGCCCTGCACTGAGCTCCCTGCTCAGTGGGGAGTCTACCTCTCCCTCTCCCTCTGCCCCTACCCCTGCTTGTGCTTGCGCTCTCTCTTGCTCACTCTCTCAAATAAGTAAATAGAATCTTTTAAAAAAGGAGAAAAAAGATTAGAGTCTCAGCCTACTTTCCAACCTCGGGGAGATAATCACCAGAGGCCAATGAGGTAATCAATCATGCCTACATAATGGAACTCCCATAAAAGCCCTTAAATGACGGGTTTCAGGGAACTTCCAGATTGGCAAACATACCCATGTGCTGAGAGGGTGGCACACCCCTACTCCTCAGGGATAGAAGCTCCTGCACTCATGACTCTTCCAGACCCCACGTATGTACCTCTTCACCTAGATAGTCATCTGTGTCCTTCATAACAAACTATGTTTGTTAAGTATAGCATTCTTCTGAGTTCTGCCGAGTCGTTCCAGCAAATTATTTTACAACCAGTACCAGTAATTCAGAATTTTCTGTTAAGAAAGTTACTTAAGTCAAACTTGACTTGTTCTCACAAGTTAAAAAAATGAGATTGTTTTCTTTGTTTTTTTTTTTCTTTCTGTCCCCTCCAGGAGAGTTGATGGCTTCACTGTTCCTTAATTTATAATGTATTACAGTGACATAAGTCATGGCCCACCTTTCTTTTGCCCCTAGAACAGTCCAGTTATTTTTGCATCTTCTGTTGGGTCTGTTTTCCTATTCTTTGTTTTTATTTTTCCTCGGATCCTTTCTAGCCTCTGTACCTCTCCAGATGCCAAGCCCATCTGGATTTCCCTCTGATGGGCTGACCACCACTCAGCAGTGTTTTGCCTTAGAGTCCTTTATCCGCTGTTCTGTACGGTGCCCCTTTTTTGAGTTGGCACTACATTGATCTCTTTTCTGATATTGCTTCACAGGACCTTGCTAAGAAGTACTCTGACAGGCTAGAATGTTGTGAAAATGAAGTAGAAAAGATAATAGAAGAAATACGTTGCAAAGCAATCGAGCGTGGCACAGGAAATGAAAATTATAAAACAACAGGAATTGCTACGATTGAGGTCTTTCTACCTCCCCGGCTAAGAAAAGTGAGTAATTTTCCCCAACAGGTACATGTAGCAATGCTTTGTTAACTTACTGATAAATTATGATTTTTTTTTAAAGCTACAATGCAAAGTTAACGTTCTTTTAAGTTACTTCAAATGCTGAGTGTTTATCAACTTCAAAGTGAATTTTATGGATTCTTAAACTGGAACATTTACAGGGTAGGTTTGTCCCTCTTAGGTCTCCCAGACTTCACAAAGCCGTGTATCACATGCTTACCTTTTCTAGAGTTTCAATGAACATTTAGAAATAATGGGGAATTAAAAGAGTACTTCCAGTTTTCCCAAACCGTGCATAGTAGGACACATCAGGAAAGATGTCTCCTTTTTTTCTGTGCTGATGGAGGCTAAAGGGTAGTCAGCTGAGTGCTCAAGCGGGGCCACCTTCTGTCGGGGCCATGTCCTCAGTAGTTCAAGTCCAGAAATGGTATTGGGGCAGGGAACCCAAAGATCCCTGGCCTCTGAGGACTGATCAGTGTTAATCATTTTCAAAGGATATGAAAATATATACGTGTGTCAGAGCTACCGCAGGACCCAGCAGTTTTACTCTAAGAGAAGTGAAAACCATGTCCATGCAGAAACCTGCTCATGAATGTTTATAGCAGCTCTGTTGACAAAAGAGCTCTGTTTGGCCAAAAGGTGGAAATACCCCAAATGTCCATCAGTGGGTGAATGCACTATAGCCACACAGTGGAATATCATTTGGCCATGAAGAGGTATGAAGTGCTGACACGTCTTCAACATGGCGGAACCTCAGAAACATTATGAAGGAAGCTAGACACAACACGTGTTGTATAGTTCCATTTGTATGAAATATCTAGAATGAGTAAATCCACTGAGACTAGATTAGTGGTTGCCTGGGGCTTGGGGGTTAAAGGGAGAGAATAGGGGGCGCAAAATACGGTATTTTTTGGAGAGGATGATGAAAATGTTCTGAAATTTGATCATGGTAATGGTTGTATAACTATAAATGTAGTGGAAACCACTGACTCATATTTTAAACAGGTGAGCCTTATGAAATGTAAATTATATCTCATTAAAGCTTTAAAAAATTTCTAGGAAAAGAGCTTTATGAGAAAAAGAAAATTACATATTAATCTACCTCAGGATGCCCGTTCATGAGTTCAAAGGGTAATATACGTATATAGGCCTCCTCTTTGCTAGTATCCAGCACCTGGGAAACCAGACCACCAGTCAGAAAGCTGGTTGGCGAGTGTGGAATCTGAGCAGATTTGCACGGTCTCCTAGGCTTTCCTAGTGATTCCAGTTTTTCCTTCTAAGCCCAGCCAGTGGGGAATGAAGAGGTTCCAAGATGGCGTTTTGCCACTCCCTGCTCAGTGGGCATGGTGAAAGGGAGCGTGTCTTGTTCCCTGAGGGTGGCTGTGGTGCTGAGGTGGCGGGCTGGGCCCTTGTGTCGTATAGGCTAGCTCCCTTGAATGAAGATGCATCACAAATCCCTCTGAACATCTTGCTTCCCACCAGAGGCTGAAACCCTGCCTGAGGTGCACACTTCTACCCCCTTGAGGGCTGCTAGGTCACGGGGTCAGCATGTGCCAGGTCATGTGCAGTAGCTTCTCTGCCAGGCATGCATCATTTCAGTCCTTAACACTTTCTGATACCAGCCTTCCTGATTTTATAGACAGAGTAATAGCACGAGAAACTGTCACGCTGAAGTACGTTTTCTTTCTTTTTTTTTTAAATTTTTTAATTTAAATTCAATTTAGTTAGCGTATAGTATATTTTTAGTTTCAGGGGTAGAGATCAGTGATTCATCAGTTGCATATAACACGCTGTGCTCATTCCATCACGTGCCCTCCTTAATGCCCATCACCCCATCATCTCATCCCCCTACCCACTTGCCCTCCAGCAACCCTCAGTTTGTTCCCTAGAGTTAAGAGTCTCTTATGGTTTGCCTCCCTCTCTGTTTTTATCTTATTGTATTTTTTTCTTCCTTTTCCCTATGACCTTCTGTTTTGTTTCTTAAATTCCACATGTGAATGAAATCATACGGTTATTTGTCTTTTTCTGACTGACTTGTTTTGCCTAGCATGGTACCCTCTAGTTCCTTCTGTACAGTTTCTTTTGCCTTTTTTTAAATAGGATAGGAAAAACCTGTTGGAGACCCGACTGCACATCACTGGCAGAGAACTGAGGTCAAAGTAAGTATCTGTCTGCCCGGTGCCCCAGCTGCTCTTGGCCCTCCTACAGTGGCTCACGGGATCCTTTGTGACAAATCCTGTTAGAGAGGGCAGGTACTATTCTCCTCACTTAGTGGAAAGGAATATTGAAGCTTTGCGGTTGCAGAACGTAATGAGGCTCACACTGGCAGTTCAGGGCAGAGTGAGAACTCAAGACTGGCACCATTTGTCTTCATTTCCTGGTATAACAAGACCAGCGGGAGCTCTGTGCCTACCACTTAACAGGTACTTGATAACGTGCTTGAATCAATCAATGAGTGATACACGTAGCCTGATATTCATCAGATCATTAGCTTTGAATTTTACTTTTTTAGTGCATTCATAACTTGCTGTGACATCCAGCAAAGTGTTTTAGCCAATTTCAGGCTGTTGGCCCATCTGTAAAAAGAAAAAATACCTGTCATGTACTAATGACATTCTCACTTTTGAGAGCTGGTTGGTTATGTCATCCACTTCTATATTTTTAAATGGTAAGTGTTTTGAGTACCTGCAGGGCTAGCCAGCCCTTGTTTCTGAAGCTGATTTTTCTCATTTTCTTTGGTCTGCATCAGGGCTGTTAGGGATGGATTCAGGAAGCAACATTTATTCAACACACATGAGTGGAAGATTGTTTGGAACAACCCTCTATTATGGGCTCCTCCAAGGAGACTGCAGAAAGTATAGAGAATGGATTTTCTCCTGACATGCAGCCAGGGCCCTCCTCTTCAGATGGATGTTCCGCACGAGTGGTCTCCACTTCATAAGGAAACAAGTAGTAAAGCAGATAGTTTAAAAAAGAACATTGTCTTGTACACAGTTTCAAATAACCATCTAGTAGCCTGGCTTTATCGTGAGTGATGTTTGGGAGACAGTAAATTGAAATACTGGGAATTTCTGAGTGAAACGTTTAAAATAGCTGTCATGATTAAACTCTATTTAATGGATAATAATAAATTGATTACGTGCAGCCTCTACCGGTTTATTTTACAGAATTGCTGAAACCTTTGGATTTCAAGAAAATTATATCAAAATTGTCATAAACAAGAAACAGCTTCAACTAGGTATGTCATGGCAAAGTGCAGATTCTCTGTCGAGTCAATGTAACGACTGCATCTTTTTTCTCACTGTTTTTCTATTCTCAAATTTCTAGTGGCTTTACTGCATATATGATCTAAAACGTTACTGTAGAGCTTATTAAATTAAAATGTAAAGCAGAAAACTACCCTTCTAATCAATATTTACTGTGTGTTCTGTGCTAGTAGGAAGAAAAGATGCTCACTACAGGTCTGAGGAAATGTTATAGAACAGAAGTGTAGGTGTGTTCATAGTGAAATGGGGGTTCCAGTAAGTTCTCTCCAAGGCAGAAGCACTAAAGCTGAGTGAGGGCAGTGGGGTGTGTTCCGATTGAGAGAACCTCATATCGGAGCCCCCTGATGTCAGTTTGAGCAATTGAAAAAGATCCAGTACAGCTGAGTATAGAAAGTGAGGGTAGGGTAGTGCTTTTTAAGGATGGAGGGCCGGGCAGGGCCCACAGTGAAAAGGTTATGGCAGTGGTTCTCAACCAGGGGCGATTTTGTCACCCAGGGGACATTTGGCAGTGTGGAGACATTTTTGGTTATTATGACTTGGTTGTGGGGTGGGGATGGAGGCTTGGGCTCCCGTCACTCAGTGAGTCAGGACCAGGGATGCTGCTGAACCATCACAGAGCAGAGCACAGAGCAGCTCCCACGACAAAGATTCACTTGGCCCACGATGTCAGTGGTGCTCCTGTGTAGAAAACCTGGGCCCTGTGAACTCGTGCAATATTATAATGTTTCTCCTAAGAGGCTGGAAGCCACAGATGCTGAGGGGTGACATGATACATTTGGGTTTTAAACATCCCTTTGGGTGCAGTAGGGGAATGGACTTGAAGGACTCAGGCAGGCACTACAGTTGGTTTCCAGTAGGTTCTTAGGGCTCAGAGAGTCAGGTTCACATCCTAGCTTGGTGGAACACAGCCTGCACATGGCCCTAGCCTGCCTCCATGAGCCATTCCCCATCGTCTCTTTCAGATGTCATAGGTAGCTTTTCATTGTCCTCTCTTCTCTGTGACACTTCTGTTTGTGATAATCTTCACTGGGCAGAAATCCTGGATTTTGTTGTTATCAGATCTGTCAATTTCCATCTTATCATTTGTGTTAAATAATCTTTCCCCTGGGGCGCCTGGGTGGCTCAGTTGTTAAGTGTCTGCCTTCAGCTCAGGTCATGATCTGGGGGTCCTGGGATCGAGCCCCATGTCCGGCTCCCTGCTCTGTGGGAAGCCTGCTTCTTCCTCTCCCACTCCCCCTGCTCGTGTTCCCTCTGCTGTCTCTCTCTCTGTCAAAAAATAAATAAATCTTAAAAAAAAAAAAATCTTTCCCCAAGCCCAGGGACACACAGATAGTCTTCTACATTTTCTTGTATTAGCCTAATCAGTGTGAGGTCTGCAGTCTGTCCAGAGGCCCCCTTTATATATATAAAGGCTAAGGATCCAGCTTTATTCTTCTGATATCCCCTGCTAAACGTGCCCTTTCCACACTGATACTTGGTGCCCCCCTTTATTAGAACTCTGTTTCTGCACTTCCCATTCTTTCCATTTACCTGTAGATTTATTCCTGGACCAGAACCCTAGAGGTTTTTTTTTTTTTTATTGGGGTATAATGGACATATAACATTATATTAGTTTCAGGTGTACAACATAATGATTCACTGTTTGTATATATTGTGGAGTGAGCACAATAATGTTAACTCACATAGTTAAACATTTTTTTTTTCTTGTGATGAGAACTTTTAAGATCTACCTCTTAGCAATGTTGAAATACAGAGTACAGCAATACAGTATTATTAACTCTAGTCACATGCTGTATGTTACATTCCAGGATGGACTTATTTTGTACCTGGAAGTTTTGACCACCTTCACCTATAGAGTTTTTTTATGACTGGTTTTGTTGTGGTTTTAAAATCTAGTAAGATGAGTCCTGTTCTTGGCTCTTCACTTGGCCATTGGTGTACCTTTATTTTTCTACATAAATGTTAGAATGTCAAGTTTCTCAAAAAAAAAAATCTAACGGAGTTTTCCAGAAAAATATTCAAATTTATATGTTTATAGTTCATAATATTTCATTATTTTAAAATTTATATGCATCTGTGTTTATTCTTCATTTTGGTGGTTGTTTATTTGCATCTTTGAGTTAATTTTTGTTAGGTTTGTGTATTTGATTAATTTTTCATAGAACCAGCTACCGATTTGGTGAATATGCTTTCATTCTGTTTCATTGATGTCTGACACTATCTTTATTAACATTTTATGTGTAAGGTCCTGGGTGTAAGCACTTTACTCAGGACCACAGAGTTAAAAAGAACCCAAGAGGTTTGCTTCAAACCACCACAGTGAATTACCTCTCACAGTGCCCCGCTGCACTGTGGCTTCTCATCTCTTGCTGTGAGCTGGGTTTATTTCTCCAGTTAGAAGGTATAAATATGCACTGGCCGATTTTACCCTCTGCTTAACAGTAACAGAATTATACAGCCAGACGTCATGTGTTCTCACCGGGCATGTGGCATGGTGGCTCGCGAGTACTAACTCGGGTTTAAGAGTTCCATTTAACAGAATGGACTGTGACCAATACATTTATGGCTCTCTCCGTGATAAGCATTTCTGATTTTTACAGGGAAAACCCTTGAAGAACAAGGAGTGACGCACAATGTGAAAGCTATGGTGCTTGAACTAAAACAGTCTGAAGAGGATGTGAGGAAACGCTTCCAGGTTGCAGAAGAAGAGCAAAATGAGGCCGAACTAAAAGAAAAAAGAATTCAGAGGACCAGGAGAGGCCTGGAGATACTGGCGGAGAGAGGTACACAGAGCTCTGGGCTCTTTATTTCCCGCTGGCTGTAAAGGGACGCTGGCGGGGGGGCGGGGCACACAGTGGGCACAGTTCTTAAGGACTTGTCTTCCCCCACAGTCTAATGCTCGTAATGTCCCATCACTGCTTTCTAGTGTTGAATTAATGGAGTTCCTTTCGGTTTTGTTGCAGCTGAGATGGTGGTGGATCCAGAAACCACACCATATTTAGACATAGCTAACCAGACAGGCAGATCGATCAGAATTCCTCCTTCAGAAAGAAAGGTAAGTACTATAGAAATTTATGGCTGACGCTTTGAGTTCCTGTCAGAACAGAAGTGGTTTTCTAGCTATTTCATCTTGCACTGTCATAAAGGATTAGAAACAGTTTTCCGTGGGAGCTTCTAAACAGGATGGAAGCCTATGATGGCACCTGCATCCAGCAGACTCAGCCTGTGATTTTCAGTGCAGTAGAACAGAACGGCTCGATGGCATGTCCTGCAGCAGTGACGTGATGCACTGCCTTCCCCCCACGTGGCTCCCCGTGGCAGTGCTGGTTTTGGTGTGGGTTTTCTGGTTTTTTTTGTTTTTACCAGAGGGCCATGTCCTCTGAGGAGTGGATCAGAATAGGGAGCTGGGGGTGGGGAGTGGGGCATGAAATTTGGGAAAAGTCTGACAGGTGATTCTGCCATCTCTCCCCTGCCTTCCCGTTTCCCTGTTTGCTAATTTGGAATAGGCAGGAGGTGGTTTTGTCTTAAACACATCCCAGTGGGTCTTCACAGCAGCACTCTACAGCTGGGGCCCTGAGATTAGTATCTGAGCCGGAGTCTAGTAGCTTCTGATAATGAAGAGCTGTAACGACTGTGGGTCAAGTCAATTTTAATTTTTCTGTCTTTAAAGGACAAGTATGAGTAGGCTTCATTATATGACTTACATTGTTTAAAATGAAGGACTAAGGTTAAGTTTTAATAAGAGAACTTGGTAGCTCTCAGTGGATTGATGCTTGTTTGTTTTTAAAATGTTGGTGATGATTTGCCCACAACTCCCTTGTATTAAATGATGATATCCAGGGGCACCCGGCTGGCTCAGTTGGTGGAGCATGCAACTCTTGATCTCGGGGTTGTAAGTTTGAGCCTCATGTTGGGTGTAGAGATTAATTTAAAAAAATCTTTAAAAAAAATTGATATCCAGACTTTTTGGAAAACCTTTACAAGACTGAATTATATAAAAATTCAAATTTAAATATTGATGAACTTAAAAACATTTTCGGATTGCCTTTTTTTTTAAAGTAAGCTCTCTGCCCAGCCTGGGGCTTGAACTCACAGCCCCAAGATCAAAAATAGCATTCTCTACTGAGGCGCCCATGGATTGCCTTTTAAAAATTGTTTTAGGAATACTAGAGTTGACAGATACTTCAGAAGAAAACTTGATTAAAACTAGAAAGTGAGAGGCGCCTGGATGCCTCAGTCAGTTAAACGTCTGCCTTCGGCTCAGGTCATGATCCCAGGGTCCTAGGATCGAGCCCCGTGTCCATGTCCGGCTCAGTGGGGAGTCTGCTTCTCCCTCTCCCTCTGACTCTCCCTGCTGCACTCTCTCTCTCAAATCTTTATTAAAAAAAAAAAAAAACTAGAAAATGAAATGAATGGGGCTTTTTTGTTTGTTTGTTTGTTTTAAAAGAGAGAGAGCATGAGCAGGGGGTGGGGCAGAGAGGGGGGTAAAGAGAGAATCCCAGGCAGGCTCTAGCGTGGAGCCTGATGCGGGGCTCAATTTCCCAATCCTGAGACCATGGCCTGAGCTGAAACCAAGAGTCAGCTGCTTAACCAACTGGAGCCACCCAGGCGCCCCAGGAATGCTTTTTTCCAAAGAGATAGAAGCGTTACTAGCTACTTTTTTATTTATTCAGTCTTTCTGATACTAGAAATAGATCTAAATCAGCAGATACTAAAATAAACTGACGGAAACAAACGGACAAGTGCTAGTTATGACCCTGTCAGCCACATTAAATTGAGTGCTTGATCTCAACATTGAAATGAAATGAAGCTTTGATTATATTTTTCTTAATTTTGGCTTTTGGATTGAGTTGTGATCTTGGGGTTTTTTTTAATCTTTATTTGATTTCTTTAGACTTGATATGCTTTTAATATAATTTGTTTTATTATAAAGTGATTTTTTTTTTAAATACATATTTTTTTCTAGGCCCTTATGTTAGCTATGGGATATCATGAGAAGGGCAGAGCTTTCCTGAAAAGAAAAGAATATGGAATAGCCTTGCCATGTCTGTTGGATGCTGACAAATATTTCTGGTAGGCACTTTTGTACTTGGTGAATACCAGTTTTAAGGAAGATAGTCCAGATTACACACAGCACCGTCTTTCCCCCTGTACACTTCAAACTTGAGGTTTTCACCCAAGACAATGGTTAATGTGAAGAGAGTAGTTGTGATGTAGACCAGTTTGTGAATTATTTTATCTCTTCAGATTTCTAATCTCTCTTCCCTGTAAAGAATTTTATAAACATGTATAGCCCGCATGTAGATCTGTCTGTTTTTTGTGCCGTGTTGTCAGCCTGCACTATCCGTCATGCAGACTCCATCAGCTTTTCCCCGGATGGTTTTGGTGTGGATGTTGATGATCATTCCCCAAATCCATTGTTTCATTAGGGGCTGCAAAATAGTGATCCCTTATTTTTCCTTCTGCATTTATTGCTGGGATTCCTCTGAAAAGAAGTATTTTTCTTCATTGGCTATTTGTTTGCAGTGAGGTACAGTTTGTACAGAAAGAATAAAATACTTGGTTCTTTCTTCTTATTTTCTTGTTTTCAGAATAAATGAGGTGCTTCCCTAGAATTCTCCAAAGAGGATATTACCAGTGAGGTTTTCTTTCCTTTTTTTTTTTTTTAAAGTATCAATATGAACTCGGATTTTAACACATTTGATGTGTTTCAAACCTCGGTGCTTAAAATGACCATCTGTGGCCAACCAGTGGGTCCTGTCCTGCATCCTTTTGACCTGATCCCAGTGGTGTCTGGTGTCCAAAGGTGTTCCAGACTCCTCCTGCATGTTTCCTGCCCCAGAGCAGGAATCAGCGGTTTCCCAGCGGCTCCTGATTCCTCTTGATGGGAAATGGTGCCGAGAGACTATAATCCTGGCAGAGGAAACATTTGAAAAGTAGCCTTGATATTTAAAAATGGTGACAAGTTAACAACTTTAGGGTATTCTCTTTTCCATTTTGATGAATTCCCAAGATATACTGTACACTTGAGGATAAATACAAATGCTTGTAGTTTGCCAACCGTATTAGCAGCAAGCACCCTTGGGTTTTAAGTGAACAAATCCCAGTTTAAACTAACTTAAGCAAGAAAGGGGATATTTGGCGAGGAGGGGGCAAATCTGAAAATAAGCAGAACAAGGGCTTGGTTCCCCTTGGGTTTGCTTACCCCGCTTCTTGGTCTCTGCTGCTGTGCTGCCTTCGTTCTCGTTGGCTGTACGTGGTGCAGGCTCGAAGTTAGGTCCTTCAGACGCAGATGCCTTTTTCATTTCCTTCCATAATTGTTTGTAATTTCTTACGGAAAATTTCAAACATATATAAAAATAAAGATTAGTGTAGTGAATTCCTATGTATTTTTTTTTTTTAAGATTTTGTTTATTTGACAGAGAGAGCGAGCACACAAGCAGGGGTGCGGCAGGCAGAGGGAGAGGGAGGAGCAGAGAGCCTGATGCTGGGCTCAATCCTAGGACCCTGAGATCATGACCTGAGCAGACGCTTAACTGAGCCACCCAGGCACCCTCCTGTGTACTTCTAATCCAGCTTCATCAGTTACTGAGACATTGATTTTGATTTGTCTCTGTCAACCTTTCTCAATCTTTTTATCCCAGACAGATCCTTGAAATAATTTTCAGGTCTCCAGGAACCCCTGAATAAAAATTATTGTATCTTCAGTTCACAGTACATGAACATGTTCAGTACGTAGTAGATATAATAACCCAATAATAGTCAGTGTCTCTGTAGAGAATGACATTTTTTTCCTGAAGCTCTCCTTATTCAGGCTGACTTACTAGCATAATTTTAGTGCGAGTTTTTCCTCTTGGTAAAGGAGATCAATCTAGCGCAGGTCAGGGATGTGGGTGGAAGAGACTTCAGTTCTGTTTCCTTTCCCACCTCCAAGTAGGCTGAAAGTTCTGACAGAACTTTGTTCTACATCTTGGGGAATGGTATGTAGTATGACCAAGCGTAGTTTTCTTTCCCTGTTTACAACAGAAAGTGGGAATTCTGCTTTGGCCAAGATAGACTAACAGGGACTAGATGTACGCAGTGAAAATGTGGGCAAAGGGTATGAACACTTCAGTTTTCTGGCAGGTTAGGACAGTGATTCCTAAGGTGGGGAAACACAGTAGGGGAGCCCTGTGATTGTTTCTGCTCCCCGCCTAGAGAGTATCTAGACTGCAGTGCAGGCACGAGAAAGCCAGGGGGCGCCTCCTGGTCTCCCTGGAGTTGCGGAAATGGAGCTCGGAATCCTGGCAGGCCAAAGTGCAAGAGGGGAGAGCAGCCTGAGGGAGGAGGTCCAAGAGCTTCAGAAGGTCTCCTTGGAGTATTCTGTTGAGTAACAATCCTCCGCACGTGCATGTGAGGAAACCACGCCACGCAGGGCAGAGCACCACCAGAGAGGAGCAGAGAACAATCTTCAGAGTTCAAAAGGCCAAGAATAATTTGTGCTCCCACCAGTCACAGCAAACTTTTTGATCACGCACGGGGCATCACAGAATTCAGAAGGGTGTTGCCTCAGCAGGAGGGCAAGATTATCTCTAAAGGCTGCTGTGGCCTCACCTGACAAAGCTTAAAAGCAAGCCTTAAAAGGATCACCCTGTTTTTAAGTCACTTAACTGCATCCCAGACAAAGCTCAGTAATATTTATCGCAATACAGAAATATCCAGTCACCAACTAAATATTAACAGTCATGCAAAGAAGCAAGAAATTCAGTCCATAATAAAGAGAAAAATCTAGTCAATGCAAACAGACCCAGGAGTGACACGGAAGATAGAATTTGTCGGCTAGGACATTGAAACAGTTACTATAACCGAATTCTGTACATTCTGGAAGGTAGAGGAAGGATGGAGTATGTTAAGTAGATGCGGAACGTCCACCAAAGAGCCCCACTGGAATTGCAGAGATGAGAAACACAGTGTCTGAGGCGAAGGGCACTGGGTGGAATTCAGTGCAGATTGGACACCACAGAAGAAAAGATGGGCATATCCGAAGATGGGGCAATAGAAATGGTCCAACAGGAAACTGAAAAGACAAAAATAAAAAAAAACGGACACAACATCCAGAGATTGTAAGGCAGTTTCAGATGACCTGATATATGGATAATTATAGTCCCTGAAGAAGGAGGCAGCTGGGCCCCCACACAAAAATCTTAAGGAATAATAGCCAAAATTTTTCCCAGTTTGATGAAAATTGTAAACCCCCAGATGAAAGAACCATAATGAGTCCCAAGGACAAGAAATAGGAAAAACACCACACTGAGGCGCACTGTAATCCAATTCCTTCAAGCCAGTGATTGAAAGTGACTTCTTAGTCAGCCTTCCCTGAAAAGAAAAATGGAGATACGTTAAGCTTAGCTTGCCTTTCTTGAAATTGGTATCTTTATTTTACGTAAAAATTTAAAACTCATAAGGCAAATAGAATACATTTCTGTTAATTAACTGACTTCAGCCCAAGTGGGATTTAATTTTTCTAAAGCTAGGCTCAGTAGGCTTAATTTAAATAAATGTTACTCATTTATTTTATTTTTTTATTTTAATTAATGTTTTTAACATGAAAACTTATTGACCCTTGAGTGTGAAAACTACTAAAACCATAAGCCAAGGCAGTCTTAATAAAAATATACTCCTAAGATACAATTTTATACAAGGCCTTAACATTTTGTTTTTTTCTGAGTGACATGATCAGGTTCAAATACAGGCCTAATAGTTTCAAAATTATTAACTATAAATGTTGATTTTGTGATCCCTTTTATAGGCCTCTACCTGAATAGGAAGTGTTTTTGAAACTAAAAGAATGACATGTCCTTCGCTAGTCTGAGACCTGTGCTTGCTTTTATGCTGCACTGTAGTCCCTGCTGGACTGAACTTGCACACGATTCTGTTTTTACCTGAAATGAGGCAGTTTCTGTCCTTGCTCTTCATGCATATTAAATACAAATGAGCCTACGCGCACAGGTAGGGCATCGAAAACTGTGACAAAATGTCTCCTGCTTTCTCAGGGACAGCAGGATCATCTTCTGTCACAGAAACAGGAGTCTAGAATGTAAGATCAGACCACAGTCCACAGAGTTTTTCCTCCTCCTTAAAGGCAAGTTCTCAGGCTGAGCAGGCAGTTCAGAGACACTGCCCCCCGCCCAGGCACGGACCTGTGTGTGTGCATGTGTATAAAATATAGAGGGCACCTTACACAACCTTCACAAAGGGTAGAAACAGTGAGAGAAAGATACGGCAGATGACTGAAAAGCCTGCTCTGGTGTATTTCTCCCGCATCCCAGTAGACTGTCCCACTCAGGATCCTGCTTCACAGTGTAAATGACACCATCATGTTCCTTTGGGGTTTTTTTGTTTTTTCCAAGCGGATTTGATAGGCAAGGTGGGAAGCTTGAGGGCATGTAGGTTTTGCAGTTTTATACAAGAGTGGTCTTATCCTTAATAGAATACCCATGAAAACAAACAGGCAAGATCTTTCAAATTTGTTCCAAATGTTTTCCTTTTTTGTTGACAAAGTTCTGACTTGAGGTCTAGGTGTGCATTATGAATTTCTAAAAATCACATTTTAAAAGCAGAATAAATAAGCTTGATGTCCATCTTTGCCAACATTCCATTGTCTTGTCTTCCGCCCTTCTCTGGAGCTGGGGATAGCTACAGAGTAGCATTTAGCCTGCACCTGGGCCCCCAGCTCAGCTAAGCATTTAGACCTGGCATTTTCTGGATTGTTTTTCCTCCCAGCTTGACTGTGATTGGACATGAATGTCTTGTTTTCATCAGTTGAGGCATTAACAGTAAGTAGTGATGGGGGCGGGGGTGGTCTTCAAAGCATTGTTTCTCAACTTTGGCTGTACATTAGAATCACCCAGGGAGATTTTCAAAATACAATATCCAGGCCCTATCTCCAGAGGTTTCTCTTATAATTTGGTGTAGATGGGGTCTCAGCACCAGTATGACCCAAAAAGAAAAAAAATTCCTCACTTCCAGGTGACTCTGATTTGCAGTCAGGGCTGGAAGCCTTTGCTTTAAGCCATGGCCTCCTCATGTTTGCTGACCTCATGTTTCTGACACAGTGATGCCAATTTCCACTTCCTGCTGAACCTCCTTCCCAGCAGGCTTAGCAAGGGTGTGTTTATGCCCCCCCCCCGGGGGGAGTGGTATTAAACTGTTATCCCTGAGCCCTAACTGCTTTTTTCCCATTGGGAGGATTCTGATTATAAATAGAGCTCCCTTCGTAAACATTGGGGTCTGTGCTGTGGAATAGTCAGTCTTTGGGAATACAGCAAAACCTGGGAAGGACTTCCAGTAATCCACAAAAAGGGTTTTAATGTTCCTTTTCTGTGATGTCATTTCCTTTGGCTCCCTCAGTGAGTGTTGCAGGGAGCTGCTGGGTACGGTAGATAACTATGCGGTGCTCCAGCTGGATATAGTGTGGTGTTACTTCCGCTTGGAACAACTGGAATGCCTTGACGATGCAGAAAAAAAATTAAACTTGGCTCAGAAATGCTTTAAGAATTGTTACGGAGAAAACCATCAGAGACTGGTCCACATAAAAGTATGTTACTGTAATTTGTTTTATGTATTATTGAGCCCATTTCTACCACTTGAGTTTATTCCTGTTAAAAAATTTAGACTGCTGCCAAAAGGTGATTTGATAGTAGTGTGCACGGTGCTCTTTCTAAGCTCTCCTCTAAGGGAATTGTGAAATGTGTTACAAGTTGGGCTGTTAACTTTGGTCTGTGCAGTGCTTAGCTGGAGGAACACAGTTTTCCAGCCCTAGAACCCTGTTGATGATCCCCCTGACCAAGAGAGCTGGTCTCATGGAAGATTTAAATGCAGAAAAAATAGGCCTTTTGAATGGTAACAGTTGACATGAGTGAATCACAGCTCAAGAGCTGTGTCATCAGAATTCTGCTTGGAAATTTCAGGGCAGCATAAAACATCCCTGGTTTGGGTTTCTGCATACTTCCTTTCTGACCAGAAGGACCACTGTCCTGGGTGCCTGGACACAGGTGTTCTGGCACCACTTCTTCCTAGTGGGACAGGGGGTGCCTTTGTCCTCTAGGATCTCTACTTTTGCCCTCAGCAGTAAGGGAAGATCTAAACATTGTAGGGATGCCCCCGTAGAGATGAAGGGAATTACAAGTGTGAATGTTATAGATCTGTAATTAGAAATAAGACAGTTTTATCCTTTTCCCCCCCAATAATTTTAGGGGAACTGTGGGAAAGAGAAGGTATTGTTTTTAAGACTTTACTTGCTTCAAGGTATCCGAAATTATCACAGTGGAAATGGCGAAGAGGCTCGTGACTATCTCAACAAGGTAAGAAAATGAATACTCCAAAGTTGTAGCCATTTTTTTCATCCCCAAACATTCAGTATTTCAAGTCAGTAGTTTGTGACTAGTGAGGAACATGCATCTGTCCCCCATGCCCTCTGCCTCACACATGCCAGAACCATACTTGTATTTGTTAGGGTGCAGGTGAGGTGCTGTAATGAGAAAACCTCAAAAAGACAGTGACTTTACTTGGCCGCCAGTTTCCATGTCTCATCTAGCAGCGTAGAGGCGAGCTGCTCAGCTACCTGTGTGTGGCAGCCACTCCTCTTCCAGCCAGCAGAGGGGGCAAGAGAGAGTCCCAGGCCGCCTCTGGAAGGACCAGAAGTTGGGGGGCTGTCACTCCTGCTACAGGCCACTGGCCTACACTTAACCACCTAGCTACACCCAGTTGCAGGAGATGGTGAGGAATGCCATGTACACAGCTCAAATTCAGGTGATTTGATTACAAAAACGGAACAGATAGTGGATACCAGCCCCTCCCATAATACTCAGCCTGTTTCCTTCTGTTACGTTATGATATATCACGTGGGCAGAGTGGTGTCTGTATTCTTTTTGAGCTAGTTGCTAATAAGCAGAGTTCAGAGTTTTTCTCTAAAAATCTGACACATTGTAATTCAGATTGGGTACAAGCTTATTTTTTTCAGGTTTTAGCTTTGTGTTAAGCTTTAATGTTGTTAAAGTTACATGATTCTTGTATTTTTTTTTCTTGTCTGTAGGCACTTCAACTCTTTAAAGAGCTATATATTGATCCCTCAAAAGTTCACAATCTGTTGCAGTTGGGCTTTACTGCCCAGGAGGCCCGGCTTGGCCTGAGGGCATGTGACGGGAACGTGGACCACGCGGCAGCCCACATTACCAACCGCAGAGAGGTACCTTAACGTGCTCTCAGCAACACTGGGTCTCGGCCTTTGCGTAGGTGTGAAACTGGAGGCATAGTAAGCCTGTTTCCAAAACGCTGTAGCTCTTGGGTATGAAAGAAGAGAAAAATATTGTTCCGTGGTAGTTATAATCACAAGGAGCTCCTTATACCTCAGATTGGAAAGAAACAGGAGGAATTTGTCTTTTTTAATTGCATTAATTTTCAGGCAGTGCAGTTTCCTTCGTTTTCTTTCCTGCCGTGGTGGCTGTAGCTCATAAGTACGTTATCCAAGTAGCCTGTCTGTGCATGTCTCCTCTCTCCCTCTCTCTCTCTTCACCGTGGTAGATTTCTGGAAACCATTTTAAAGGGGGCTTTGTTTTCCCATGGAGCCATTGTTACAGTTTGGGATGGCATTCTCAGCTAGAAACATGAGTCAAGTCACAGGAACAATTAACATTATGAAAGCAGAGGTACAAAACTACAATCATTTGAAACAATTACAAATAAGTAGATTAAAAAAAACTTTATAGATTTTGGAGTTGGAGGGCCGGTTACCATATCTAATGTTGCTACGTTTACAGTACAAGAGCTGAGGTCGAGAGAGAATTAATGATGCGGTACTGAGAAGTGGAGCCGCTGTGTTCTCCGAGAAGTCGTACCGATTTTCTCGCAAGCCCTTTCTAGCCGTAAACCCCAGTCATGGAAGTCTCCCCCGCCGCCTCCACTGCATAGCGCAGTGCGGTACCCCATCCTCCGCCCCGTCGGTTTTATTTGTCCAGTTTCTAGTGTAGAGGGAAACATCAGAAAAAGTCCTTTTCTCCTGTGTCTCTACATGATTAAAAGGAGGGCGGCCTAGGCATTCGTACTTAGAGGAACAGTACTTCAAGGCTCGGACTTTGTGTCAGATCCGGGTGCGATGAAACCTGAGCCCGGTGTCTGATGGCCGGCAACACTGTTGTGTGTGTGAATGTTCCGCACGTTTCTTTCGGACTACAAATGGAAGAGCTGAAATCAGAAGCAGAGGGTGGGGCAGGGGAAAGGCAGCTTACACAGCGGGTAGGTGCGAATCCAAGTCGAAATGCGAGTGGTACGGAATCACTTCGCTGGCCTGTGTGGTTGGGTAGTGGGCAGGACAAGGGCAGCCTGGGGACATTGGGGGCCAGGGCGTGGGGACCCTGAGATCATGACCTGAAATCAAGAGTTGGACACTTAACCGACCGAACCACCCAGGTGCCCCCAAAATCCATTTTTTTAAATGACATTTGTTTTTAAAACAAATTCTTAACTCTCCTGATTGGGGTTGGGTTGGGAGAGAAGAGGCTAGAACCCTTTGTAGCCCTTCTCAGGCTCTTGCAGCAACAGAAGGCACTTCTGAGAGTCAGGGTCAAGAACTGTGGGATTAGATGAACTTGGTCTCCTGACATTGAGCATTCTGGAGGTTTTAAACAGTCTCATAGGGCCTAGGAGGCACCTGGAGTGGGGTGGGTAGATCTGCAGCTTTGGTATCACCCAGGACACTGCCCCCCATCACCCATCCAGACTCCACGTTTTAACAAGATCCCCAGGAATTAACCAGGGGCCAAGAAGGCCTCTCAGCCATGCAGGAAGCTCCTCTACCCCATCCCTAGAAGAGGGTCCGTCCACTTCTCTGGCCTGGCGGCGATGAGCTCCCTGGTTCTGTGTAGCCTGTTCTGGTGCTGAGTGGTGGTCACTGAGAGGCACACTCCTCCCGCCGTGGCCCTCTGAGAGGTCTCCAGCTCCCACTGGCCTGCCCCAGGAGCAGCGCCAGGCCCCCTGCCCTTGCAGCCCTCATGCTGTTGATTGGCCAGAGGAGAGGTTCATCCCCCTTCTTTTGTTTTTCACTTTGCCTGGCAGCCCCAAGAATCCTACAGACCAGAGATTGAGCAGGCTTCTTACAGAATCTCAATCCCCAGCTCTGTGACTGTTTTTTTCCTAAAGGAATTGGCCCAAATAAGGAAAGAGGAAAAAGAGAAGAAAAGACGTCGGCTGGAGAACATCAACTCTTTGAAAGGAATGGGCTACTCTGCTCACGCAGCCAAGCAGGCCCTGCATCAGGCCAGTGGGAACCTGGATGAAGCCCTAAAGGTAGCGCCCCCCCCCGGCCTGCCCTGAGCACCCCTGCTTGTGGGCCAAGGGGCCCCTCCTTCACTTACGCTCCTCTCCAGTGGCCTTCTGTGGTGCGTGGATCCCCACCGCCAGGGCCTTTCTCCTCAGTCCTGGTTTAGATCTAAGGGTCAGTCTCTCGTTCTCGAACCCAGTGATGGAGCCAGAATGGCGGAGCCCACGGGGCAGAACTCTGTAAGGTTTCCGTTTGCGACACCAAGAGTTTAGCAGGGATGTGGAGGAAGAGAATAGTGATGAAAATTTTAGTATAGTTTTCTTTTAATTAAAATGTTTTGTTTGAATATCGTTTTATTTATTGATTCAGTCAGTACCTGTTGCCTCAGGGAGCCCACAGAGTACTGGGGAGACGGAACAGAGTGGAGGAAAGGCCGCCGTGTGGGAGCACAGCACGTGGGGGGCGGGGGGCAGCTGAGTTCTGGAGGCAGGCAAGCGGGGTGCCTCTCTGAGCAGACACAGGGCAGCGTGGGGGTGGAGGCGCAAGGGAGCGGGCACCCGGGGGAGCTGCCGGGGCTGTGCTTGCTGGGGCCAGGCGCCAGGTGGGCAGGGGTCCCCTTGTTTGCCCTGCTGAGGAGTTCATACTGGAGCCTGCAGGCAGCGACGACCTGCCCTACCTTTGCCTTTTCTTCTCAAGACCTCCTGTCCATTCTGCAGAAGTTTCCACAAGTAAATGTTTATGTTTATATATTTACATACACACACACACATACACATATATAAATTATATATTTATAAATGGGTTTGAGTACCTAGTTTGGCTTCCTGTGTCGGAACAGTATAAAGGCAGGAAGTTCTGCCCACGTTGGGGGACTGATGAGGCTCCACCATAAGTTTGACCACACGAGTCGCACCGTGACACATGCCACCAGTCTAGAAGTCTGTAAAGGGACGTTTCCCAGAGGGTTTGTGAGGCTAAGAGAAGGTATCCTGTGATACGAAAATCAAGGGTCAGAAAGCTCTGCTCTCCTTGACGTTTTAAATCTAGCTCATGACACTCTCCAAAGAGAAATGACACGGGTCAGCCCTGCAGGGCCTGAGAAGCTTTTGTTTAGCACCCTGCATGACCTGTCACCCTGGAGGCTGAGCTCTGACACAAGGTCTGTTTTCTTGGTTTCTTTCCACTCGCTCCTTCTCGTCCCTTCCTGCTTCCTCAGAAGGGATCTTTTGTGCAGCTCATCTTGCTCCTCCTTCAGACCTCAGCTCCGATGTTCCCTTTGCAGGAAGCCTTTGAACACCAGCACCCCCACCCCGCCCCTGGGCTCGGGGCCCCTTTTCTCTGCTTCCTTCACACCCTTTGCCTGGTGCCCCCCAGCGCCCTACCCTTGTCTCCTGCTCTGTCGCCTGTGGTTGTGTCTGCCGAGCACCGAGTAGGTGAGCAGGTATGAGTGAGGAGTAAATTCCTGTGTGTTTTTAGATTCTTCTTAGTAATCCTCAGATGTGGTGGTTAAACGATTCAGATCCTGAAACCAACAACCATCAAGAAGGTCCTTCCCAGGAAAACATTGACCAGGTGAGGGTGTGTCTGTGCCCCTCCCCCTGTACAGCTTGTGTGTGGCGGGGGAGGGGGGGGGCTGGGTGACAGGGCTGGCAGCAGGACAGGGCTGCAGGCTGACTCCGGTCCACCGTAGGAGGCCAGCCAAGCCCGTGGCCTGCAGTCGGTGGAAGGCGAGCAGGTGGTCTTTCCTTCGAGAGTAGGAAATAGGAGAGCAACTGCAAGTTCTCTTTGTGGCTTTTCTCCTCTCATGCAACGGTACTTTACCCACCAGCCCCAGCCGCTGCCGCTTTCAGCGCGCTTCCCCGCTGGTGACCTAAAAGCACGTCACCGTGGTGCCTCTGTCCACGTCTCCCTCCCCCGTCAGCGCACCGAGCGTGTTGTGACTGCCTTGCTAAAGGCCCTAGTCACCAGGAGGAGCATGTCCTGTTGGCCCACAAGCCCGTTGCCTTTTTGGGAGGCCTGGGCACGGGCACGTTGGGCTCAGTCTTCCTCGATCCTTCCCAGGCGGCGCCAGGCACATGCTGTGCGCTCAAGAGCAGTGTGACAGGAGGCTGGTGCCGTCTGCATGCCACCAGTTAGACATGTATTGCCTGCAGGGCTGTCCTCACTGGCCGGGGGTGGACCGGAGAGCTGCACGTGGGTCACCCCCCTCCCCGTGTTCTCCCCTAGCTGGTGTACATGGGCTTCGATGCAGTGGCAGCCGGCGCTGCCCTGAGAGTGTTCAGGGGAAATGTGCAGCTGGCCGCTCAGACCCTGGCCCACAATGGGGGGAGTCTTCCTCCTGACCTACAGCTCGCGGCGGAAGACGCTTCCTCAACACCATCCACATCCCCTTCCGATTCCGCAGGTAGGTCTGGGCTTTCTTGAAATCCGAATTGAGAGCGGCCTGCTAGCTGGGAGCGGCCGCGGGGAGAAGGGCCTGCCCTCCCGGGTGCGGGTGCTGGTCTGCGCGGCGCGGCCTTGGGGACATGGACGTGGGTCAGCTCCGTCTTTCTGTGGCGTTTTCTCCTCCTTCTGCTCTTCTCCCCTTACTCAGCTATGACCACACTATTCCGTTGCAGGTACCTCTAGTGCCTCAACAGATGAAGATATGGAGACAGAAGCCGTCAATGAAATATTGGAAGATATTCCAGAACATGAAGAAGACTATCTTGACTCCACTCTGGAAGATGAAGAAATTATTATTGCAGAGTACTTATCCTATGTAGAAAATATAAAGTCAGCAACAAAGAAAAACTGAATAATGAGCAGAAATAAGTACTGAGTTTCTGCTTATAAATTCTATCATTATGAAAAGTCGAATGCAGGTCTTTTTTTTCCTTCTTTTTATCTGATTTTGCTGCAAGAGTGCTTCCTCCTTGGGTGTAGGAGGGGCGGGCAGGGAGCAGGGGCTGCTGTGAGGGGGAGAGCAGGCTGGGGGAGGGGTGGGGTGCCAGTCCCCAGTGCTGGCCTCGGGGAAGGAGCTGCCTCTGGCCTGGTCCTCTCCCCGGCAGCCTTCACATGCTGCAGCCCTAACAGGTCTTCCCCGCTTGGTTTCTTTTCACCCGGAAATGGGAAGGGCAGTTACTTCTGGAGAGTAGGGTGGCCCCTGGGGAAGATCTCCAGGGAGAGCTAATGGGGAGGGGACGCATCCAGATCCATCTCCTCATTTTGCGCGGCTCTCCTGCCCTCTGAGTTCACTGCCGAGCTCTTCCTGCCTCCCGTGATGCAGCTCTGCCTTCCTGCTTCGGCCTCACTGGCCCATCCCTAAAATGTCCTTTAAATCTGCAACCATTCCTAGCGCTTTGGGGGCCTAAAGATGAGGCATCAGCTACAGTAGCCGTACCAAATTGTGGCCGACTGGAAGTCAGTGTTCTGTACTCTTAGTTTAGTAAAATGTGTATTTGAAATTCAAGGTTGAAGTTGAGAATTTATAGCTGTTCAAAATTCTTTACAAAAATAGTCTTTTATTAAATGGGAAAGTCTTAAATGCTAACCAATTTTTAATTAGCATTTTCAGACGCTGTGCTGTCATATTAAACTCACTGCTCGCTGAGGTATCTATCAGAGAGTAAGATCTATTTTCTCCAGATTTGTGGGGGTTTTTTGGCATACCTGTGTCACAGAAGACTATTTCTAAAGGTATGTAGCCTCTTAATGGCCCAAATAAGCACTCTCAGTGTGCGTGCGGTACGTTCCTCTGGAGATGTGTGTTCAGGGAAAGCTGGGTCCAGCCCCAGGACATGGCAGGCAGCAGCAGGGTGCTGAATCAAGTGTGTGTTCCTGACCCTCTTCCTGCCCTTCCAGAAATCGCTGGAAGCCCCTGCGACGGAGGGCAGATGGTCACATTGCTGCCGTCAAGGGGCTGGCTGAAATGCTTTGACTTTTTCGCTAATCATTTTCATAAAGCTTGAACGGCAGTCCGGTTTGAATGGGTGGGAATCTTTTCTGTCATTTTTAAAATGGATGATACAAATGGAAATAAAAGGCGGAAAATATATTAAAAAATTGTCAGCCTAACTTTGCAATAAGTTGCTCAAACTCCTAAACCGTTCTAAGTATTGAAAATGTCTGGGTGTCTATAGAGCTTCATTTGGATTCAAGATGTGTGCTTGCATATGGCATTCTGTGAAGAAACAAAGCAACATCGATGTCTGTTATAAAAAGATGAAATGTAGAAAGCAGAGCTGGAGCTGATGGTGCGGGGGGAGCCTGCACAGGAGGGGAAGGGGGCTTGCGCTGGTGGTGTTGAAGTGGCTGACGGCCGAGGTGGTGAGGGGGTCTTTCAGCCTCGCCAGGACCATGTCATCCTCGGATTTCAGGCCTGAATTGCAGCTTCTGGCTAACTAGTTACCGTCCTGGTGTTGGGCCAGGCATGGCTTCTAGCTTCCCAGATGCGTTCTTAGTGACCCTGGAAAGGCTAGAAAGCAGAAGCACGCTAGCCGGGCTCTGACATCACTTCAGCCAGTTCTCACGCAAGGACAGCTGCCCATCCCAAGTTGGGAGACAGGCTCTGGTCCTGGCTTTGCCTCCAGCTGGTGTGTGAAACTAGACAGGCAGTGACCAAGTGCCACTCCCAGCTCTGGAGGGCAAGAGAAGCAGCAAAGGGCATTTGTGATGAAATGTCCCCAAGTAAACAGGAGTGGGCTGCGGCCAGGAGAGTCACAGAGGAGGTGGGCCTTGGAGGCATCTCAGCTTCCTGTCAGACTCTCCGAGAGTCTGAGAAGGAGAACACTCCAGACCTGGGACCAATGAGCAGGTAACAGCTGGTGTGGAACAGGCCAAGTGTGCCGTATTCATGAGGTCACGGCCGTTCTAGGCCCACCGGAGGGTGGGGCGGGGCAGAGGATGGGGTGGAAAGGACCACGGAGTCCAACAACAGAGCTCCCTGAACGGCAGGCGGGGGCTCTAGATGGGAGCGGCCAGATGCCCAGGCCCTTAGAGGACTCCGAGCAGGGGTGGGACGCGGATGTCTGCCCTCCTCACGTCTGATGCTGATCGTTCTCTTGTGAAATTGCGTCTGCTCTTGGCTTTGGTGACACTTCCCTGCCCCTGTTTCCTGCCCATGTGTCCATAAGTACTTCTGTCCTTCCCCCCCACCCCCATCCAGCCTATTTATCAAGGGCAAAGAATACCTGGTCATCTGGTCTTAGCATCCTCAACATCTAACAAAGCCTTGTGTGTTGTAGAAATAAAAATCACCCAAATTTATTCTGCTATATGAATATAAAAACCAAACCAAACAAACAGGTTTCCGTTTCCTACCCTCTCCAGGAGAGGCAGGCGGGAGAACAAATCTCCAGCAGCTCCTGTGCTATGATCCGCACCCGGGGCTCTTTCCCCGAGTGTATCCTAGCCCGTGGGTAAGATGGGGGATCTGAGGTGACGTAGGAGCAGAGGCGCAGCAGCGGCTGTGAGCGTCGGTGCGCGTCTGGTTACTCAAGCCGCCTCTCCGTCGGCACAGTGGAAATCCCGGCACAGGTACTCAAGGTAGGCCGTCTGCCGGCCCCCCCGGGAAGCCCCGCCGGTGGGCAAGCCCCTGCAGCCGCAGCCGTGGGCCCCGCCAGGCAGCCCGCGCCCCCAGGCACAGCCGGCAGCACCGGTCCCTCCGGAGCCCAAGAATGCTGCCGCGCGTGCTTCTCACCGGCCAGCCTGCTTTCCTGCGGACGCCCCCGGGTTCCCAAGGTTTGGGGGTGTGGCCTAGAGCACAGTCACAAAGGTACGCGTCCCTTCCTACTGCCCCCGGTGCCAATCCGGTACGTATTCATGGGCCGGGGTGGGGTGGGGTGGGCGGGGGGAACCCACCGTCAGGCCTGGACCTGGCCACCCCGGGGAACACGGGTCCTGCCGCGCATCTTGCTGATGAAATAGCTCTTGCGTGAACGCAGTGCGGTGCCCGCTCCTCTGCACCAGAGGCTCCTGACCTGCGCGAGATGCTGAGCTCTCAACCGCAGACACGGCCAAGCTGCTTCTCCTGCACCAGGCGAGGGCTGGCAGAGCGCCCCCTTCGGGTGATGAGAGGGCAGCTGGGGCGGCTCCCCTCGGGGCCTCTGCGGAGCCCGGGCCGCACTTGCCCCGTGAAGCCCCTCGGGGCGAGAACTCCAGCTGCTCTCCCGAGTGATGCCCACGCCTTCACCGCGCGCAGCGGCGGGCTGGCTCCTGCGCACGCGGCCAGGCGGCTACTGCCCCGGCCTTTCTACTGCAGACCCAGACCGGAGGGAAGAGCCCTCCTCGATTCATGCAGACTTGGGAGCTCCAAAGCAGGGGTGACGGATCCCCGTCGTCACCCAGACGGGCCGAAGGGCCGGTTCCTTGCTCCCTGGCCTCTCCCGTGGCCACTCCCCACACGAGTGACACGGTAGGGGTCGGTAGGGGTCATCGGGCCGCAGCCCCTCACCACCCCCTTGAGGAGGGGCAGGCCCAGGCCGGGTGTGTGAGGCCCCCGGTTCCGGGAACCCCTCCTCCCTCTGACAGGAAGCTGAGAGTTTGCAGAACAAAAGACATATTCCAGAGCACTTGGAAGGACGTGTATTTCGGTTCTTCACTAGTGTCCTCAAGACAGTTTGCCAAACTAATGACAATTGCGGCTGGGCGGCTTTTTGAAGAAATCCCGTTTCCCCTCAGGACGGGCTTGGCTTCTGGGGACCTCAGGCTCTGGGGGCTGTGTGGCGGCAGACCCTGGGTCGGGAGGGTCCCGCTGGGTCAGGTGCAGACCTGAGTGCAGGGCAGCTCTGCGGCGGGGGGGGGGGGGGGAGGGGCTGGGTTGGGGGGGGGTGGGGACAGAGACGTGGTCACCGAGGGCGAGCATGGTCACCGTCCACGGGACGGGAGGGGGCTTCAGAAGTGCACGGACACCGAGGACAGGCAAAGCCCCCTGCCTGGGGCGGGGGTGGGTCGGCCCGCGGTCTCGGGGCGCTCAGGCGGGCTGCAGGGGCGCGGCGGCGCAGCCCACCTTGTTGCTGAAGAGGCGGGAGCGGCTGCGCGCGGGGGCGGTGGGGCGCGGCGGTGGGGCGCACGGGAGGCCGCGCACGTCCCAGAGGCGCAGCGCGCCGTCATGCGAGGCCGTGTAGAGCACCTGTTCGTGCACCTGCGGGCGCGGGGCGGCGCGTGGGGCGGCGCTGCGGGGGTGCCCGGGCCGCCCTCCCCTCCGCGGTGCCCGCAACTGTCGGTGGCCTCGCCGCCGGGGAAGCCCGGCCTTGGGGTGCCGAGGTGGGGGGCGGCCTTCCCCTCCCCGCCGAGGCAGAGCCCAGGAGCAGGGCGGGGAGCGCCTACCTGGATGCAGTTAATGACGAAGGCGTGACCGCGGAACACCCTCTGCAGCGCTCCGGACTGGGCGTCGAAGGCGCGCGCGCGGGCGTCCCCGCTGCCCGTGAACACTGTGGACACAGGGCGCCGCTGGGCCTCCCGCCCAAGAGCCGCCGCCTTCTCCCGGACGCCGCGGGGCCGGGGGCGGGGGGCGCGGCGGGGCAGGCCCGGAAGTGACCGGGACCCATTGGCCCGCCTCACCGGGAGGTCTTAAGGTTCAAATGGGAACTAGCAGGAGCTCCTTGCAAGGAAGGAGGTGGCACCTTCATTCTCCTGCTACGTGCCTGGGAACTCAGGGGCCTGCCCCCCTCCCGGTGCTTTGCAGCCAGCTCTGCAGGACTGTGGCTGCTGAACCTGCCCTGGGCTGCAGGGCCTGCTTGCGCGGCCCTCTCCGGGGCTCCTGTCCCTCCTGAGTACCACCTCGGCCCGGGTCCCCACTCTCAGACCGTTTGGTGAAAGCCTTTGGTGAGGCCTGGCTTCCCTGCTCTAAAGCCCCTGCCTTGGGGTTGGGGGGGGAGGTCATCCACCTCCCATCATCCGAGCTGCCTACTGGGGCAAGGATCATCCAGAAATTCGTTCCTTCCCCTCTTCAGTAATGAACTTGGCCCTCCGAACAGAGCCTAGACCCTCTGGCGTTCGCTAGAGCACCCCTGCCCAACCTCTCCCGGGGAAGCCCCGGGATTCGGCCTTCCTTGCGCCTTTTCCTACATTAGAACTTAGTTCAAGAGTTCTCAGACTCCAGTGAGCCCCCGAATCGCCTGGAGGGTGGTTAAGGCTGATTGCTGAGCTCACCTGAGTTTCTGTCTCAGGAGGTCTGGGGTGGGGCCTGAGAGCCCGCATGTCTAACCAGTTCCAGAACGGCGACCGCACCGAGAACAGGGACCCCTTCGAGAACAGTGACCGCGCTGAGAACAGCAACCGCTCGGAGAACAGCGACCGCGCCAGGAATAGGGACCGCACAGAGAACAGCGACCCCGCCGAGAACAGCGACCGCTCAGAGAACAGCGACCGCTCAGAGAACAGCGACCCCGCCGGAACAGCGACCGCTCCGAGAACAGGGACCTCGCGGAGGACAGCGACCCCGCGAACAGCGATGGCTCCGAGAACATCGACCACGCCGAGAACAGGGACCACGCGGAGAACAGTGACCCCGCCGAGAACAGGGCCCGCGCCGAGAACAGGGACCAGAAGAACTCTGTTGTTTATGTATTGTCCTCGCCTCGGTTCTCCCAGAAGCTGACCCTGACGCTAGGATTTGAGTGCAAACACTTCATTTGGCAGGACATCCCACGAAATGGGGGGAGAAACAGGAAGGAAGGTGTATGAGTGAGCAGGTGACTGCAGGGCGCCCCTGGGAGAAGGTGAAGACCCCGTCTCAGAGCTGTGCCCCTGGGAGGTGGGGAGCAAGTCACTGGTTGAGGGTCTCTCTTGGTGTCAGCTCCCAGCCCTCCTCCCACCTGCTCCTCACGGGAAAACAGTCGAGGGCAGAGGACCTGAGGTGCAGCAGAAAGAAGCGCCCCAGGTGTGGTACCCACAGCATCTGCTGCACCCACCCAGCAGCCTGAGCAAGCCATGGGGGATCCCCAGCTTCAGGGATCTCTTCCTTACCCCCACTTACTGCTTCGCCTGCCTGTTCCCAGCCTTGTTCCTGAAGCTACCGGTGACTGGCTCTAGAGGGGAAGTTTCATTACTGGGTCTCTTCTGTTCCTTTCCTGCTTTCCCTACCCCAACCCAGTGTGGCTGCTGGGCATCCCGTGGATAGGAAGAGGGTCAGGAATTAAGTCTGATCAACCTGCAGCCTATTGGCAAAGACCACGGACCAATTTCCTTAATAGTGGGCAGCAGGTGGGGTCCATCCCAGCTGCTGCCAAGGGGAGGCGCTCTGGGCAGCTTTAATCTTTTTTAAATTAGAGGTCCTGACGTGGGAGCAGAGCCGTAATCACACTTACAGGCTTGGACCCAGGAAGAAGGAAAAAATAATTTTCCCATGTCAGACACCTAAATCCCGAGGGTATCTTGGGCTCTATTTTCAGAGATCCACATTCTATCTTCATCTAACACCTGCCGTGAAGTCAACTTGAATTTTCTGCTGTGACTCCCCCCACCCATCTGCTCCCTCAGAGAGAGTGAGAGAGAGAGAGAGAAAAAGAAAACAGAGGGGGGATGAGGGAGGCTGGTGGCAAAACATAAAATGCTGGGGATTGTTTTGGGAAAGAGATGTTCAGGAACCTGGGAGCCCCGTTCAGGAACCTGGGAGCCCCACTCCCATGTAGGTGTGGTGAGGTGTGTGTGTGTGTGGGGGGGTGCTTCCTGGAACAGTGCCTTGTCTTCTGGGTGTGTCTGGGGTGTAAACATGAGCCGAGCCTGCAGGACAGAGCCAGCAAAGCTGAGGTGTGTCAGTTTGAGACCTGTAGGACAGCTTGTTGCCTACCCAATAAGCCATTCTGCCCTTCTTTCCAAAATAACCTGATTAACCCTGGCAGCAATATCCCCAGATAAGAGATTTTATTATTCAGTCCCTCTTGTGGGCAGCGGTCAAAGAGATGTATGCAAAGTCTCTGGGTAAGTCTTCCAAGAAAGATCTTTAAAGGAACCCACTCACCTAAGAGACACAGCCTTTTGCGCTTCCCTCTTTGTCCTGTCTGCCTAAAATATGACATGGTGGCTGGAGCCCCAGCAGCTATATTAAACTATGAGGCCCCCTAAAAGAAGACATGTGCTAAGGGTGATGAAAGCAAAGTGATCAAAGGAAACTGGGTGCCTGATAACTTTGTGGAACCATCCATTCCCACCTAGACTGCCAGCCTCAGAAATTCTACCTGAGAAAAATAAACCACTATTTCATTTAAAGCACTGTTATCTGGGCTTTCTCTTATCTGTTGTCAAACCTAATGCCAGGTGAAGCCAAACCCATGTGGCCCTCCAATCTGGCAGGAGTGAGTGCTGTCAGGTCTCATTTCAAGAATTAGAATGTGTCCATCAGACAATGCTCTTAACCCTGGGGTTCCTGGCCTTCAGGCTGCTGCATGTTTTTGTGGGGTGAAGCTGGGGAGGAAGCCCCACACCCTTGTTCAGACCTTCTTTGTAAATAACCCTGGAGGGGTGCCTGGGTGGCTCAGTTGGTAAAGCGTCTGCCCGAATTCGGCTCAGGTCATGATCTCGGGGTCCTGGGATCGAGTCTCACATCAGGATCCCTGCTCAGCCGGGAGCCTGCTTCTCCCTCTGCCTCTGCCCCTCCCCCTGCTTGCACTTTCTCTCTCTCTCTGTGTGTCAAATAAATAAAAATAAGTAAAATCTTTAAAAAAATAAAGCTTAAAAAAAATCTTAAAAAGAAAATAAACTGGAGGCACACGTGCATGGAAGAGGCTTGGCTGCTGACCACCCCGATTGGCCGCTGAGGCTCAGGAGGGAACGGTCCAGTAAGAAGTAGGGTGCAGAGGCCCCGAGGGTGGGAGGATTTGGTGGGGGTGAGGAGTGATGAGCCCAGGCAGGTGCGGGCTGGTGGGGGCAGCGTGGGGCCAGCCGGGGACAGGAGTCACTTACAGGTGCCTGCATGGTACTTGAGGGCGCTCACGCTATGTCGGTGGGCCGCAAACGTGCGCACGCGCTCCCCGGTGTCGGCCAGCCAGCACTTGACCGTCCTGTCGGCGCTGCCCGAGTATACGTGCCGGTTCACGAGCTGCGGGAGAGGAGGGAGGGTGGCGCTGGACTCTGGTGCTCCTGGCTGCGGCAGGTGACTCGGAGGCCCCTCCAGACCGCTCTCTGTGATGGGGGAGGGGCCCGTGCAGGTCTCACAGGGAACGCGAACGAGCAGAAAAGACCCTGCCTGTGGGGAACCACCCAGCTGCCGGCTCCAGCACCCAAGAATCTTGTCACTTTGCCCTCGGCCCCCATCACTGACTGCTCCCCTGCACCGGTAGATCGGCATCCCGCCAGGCTCCCATGGGGGGCGCAGAGAAGGCCCGTGCAGCGCTCAGCACGCTAGGAGCAAGGAGCACGGAATGTTCGCCCGTGTTGTTACTGTTGTCAGGTGTCTCTCGTCAGCAGTTCCTGCTGAAGAACAGTCGGTGCCTGAAAGGTTCCGGTGAATCCACCTGTAGCTACCGCCGGCCGCACCAGCCGTTCCCTCGATCGTCCTGGCTGAGAAAGGGCTCCCCAGGCTGCCCGGGTGGGGAGGGAGGAGCCCTGGAGACAGGCTCCCCGACTTCCCGCCTGCCCCAGCTGACCAGAGTGGCATTCACACCCCTGCTCGGTGTCGCAGGAAGGAAGCAAGGGCCTGGGAGAGAAGGGATGGGGCTGGGGGAGGCCCCTCCCAGGAGCATCCCTTGCCAAGATAGCCAGTGTCCTGGCCCACGGGAAGTGCGAAGACGGATAAAATAATTCTGCAGGTTCCTCTAGACAAAAATCCCCATGCAGCCAAGAGAGCTGCCACCCAGCAGCTCTGGTTAGCAGGGAGGCAGAGGAGAACCAGAAATCAGGTGAGGAGGGCGGCTGTGAGCCCTGGAGAGACACATTCCTGCCAGAGCTGGGGCCCAGGGACCCCTGGAGTCTTAGGAAAGAGGAGGCCCTTCTGCTGGGGCAGCGGGCAGCAGGCCTGGCGCGAGTACAGGCCCCCGGCATCCTTGCCATGGCCCATGCCCTCCTAGCTCCAGCACACACCTGCCCAACGACAGCCACACTCTGGGCCCCTTTCCACTCCAGTTCCCGCGGCTGACCCAGGTTCCCCCTATAATTTCCCAATTTAAATCCCAGAGGACAGGAGTGACTCGTCCAGATTATATTTCCGCCCCAGCCACAGCACAGGTCAAACCTGGCTTTGGGACATTCACCGCGGCAGAGGCGGTGGGGTCTTGGGGAGCACATATGGCCTCCTGCCCCAGTGTCTGCCCCATGCCCCCGTGTGTCCTGACCCATCAGCCATCGCTCCAGAGGCAGCCCCAGGCCACCAGGGACCACGCTTCCCAAACTGCCCACCAAGCCTCACGGACCTGAAATTAAGGGAGCTGGAGTGAGTAGCCTGCGGGCTGGAGGCCCCCGTGGGACACTGGGCACCTCTGCGCCGCTCAGCCCACGCAAGGGAGGCGCTGAGCTTCCACGGCTGCTGTGGCAAAGGGATGACACCTCCTCTTCCCCACACAGCACGTCCCAACAACATGGGGCCTGTTGCACTGTGTTTAAAAGTGACTCAGCGGCGCGATTTCAAAGTACAAATCACGAGTCCAGAGGCCCAGGAAATGCTCCAAGCGTGTTGTCCTTGGCTGCCTGAGACCTCACTGTTCACTTTGGCTGCTTTCCTATGAGGACATCCCTGGGGAACAGCCGGGCAGCTCGGGGAGGCCCAAGGCACATGGGGAAGCAGACAGACCCTGACAGGGGCATGTCACGAAGGACAGGGCCTGCAAGACTTCCCTCAGCCAAGACAGCTCTGAGGGGACGGGGCTCAGGGCCATCTCCCTGCGATCCATCCAAGTGGATGGCAGGACGAGGCCTCTGCTGTGGGGGCCCCCGGGTTGCGGGCCTCTCCCCGCTCAGCTCACGGCAGCAGACGCACTTGGGCAGGGGAATGAAGCCGCTGGGCCAGGCGGCAGAGCACAGCTGGGCTCCGGACACGCTGCCTCCGGGGTAAGACTCCCCCAACCCCGGCAAGGTACAGACCCCATCACGCCTTTATAAGCTGCTGGCTAGGGGCGCCTGGGTGGCTCAGTCGGTTAAGTGTCTGCCTTCAGCTTAGGTCATGATCCTGGGGTCCCGGGATCGAGCCCCACGTCAGGCTCCCTGCTCAGTGGGGAGTCTGCTTCTCCCTCTGCCCCTCACCCTGCTCTCGTGCTCTCTCTCACTCTCTCAAATAAATGATTAAAATCTTTTAAAAAAAATAAGCTGCTGGTTACATGTTCAGTCCTGGGTTCCAGTCTTTCTCTGCCCCTTACCAGCTGTGAGGCCTTGGACAAGTTGCTTACCCTCTCTGAGCCTCTGTCTTCTCATGTGTAAAATGAGAAAAGATAAGCACGGGCAGCAGATGTGTTTGATGCCAGGCACCCAGGTGGGTCACGTCTGGGCCACACCCACCACTAGTTCACGAAACCCTCACGACCACCAAGGGTGGGCGCTCTCACGTTCAGAATCCCTGGTCCAAAATCTTGGGGCCAAACGTAGTTCAGAAGTTTTTGGATTTTAGCAACATGCTCATGTTTCTATAGCAAAGGAACTCATAGTCCCAGGAAAAGGGGTAAAGTGAACTCCAGTTAGCCTATCTGTGTAGGCCAGGCTTTGCTGCCAAGTAAGTTTTGGTGCCAAGCCTTAAACACACACACACACACACACACACACACACACACACACACACATAACTTC